ACTTTTCCATTAGCCTCATACATCAGTGATTTCCAGTGTGACATCCATGAGAATTGTAGTCCCACTGCTGTGCTTTCCGGCAGTGACTTCCTTCCTGCCCAAAGCAAAGAACCAAACCTGTCTTCTTGATTGGAGCAGGAAGACCCAAGAGGCATCACCCATTTGAAAACAACTTACCTTGCTGTGCTCCAGCCCTTGAAGCAATTTTCTCCTTGCCTGGCTTGATACAAGGAGTCCCTAGTCAGATGGTGGAAACTAATAAGGTTTCTATGCATTTGGAACACCAATGGCTAGAATTCAGGCTAGAAAGAATTCCACGTGTGTCCAAGGGTTAATCTCCACTGAATTTTTAAAAAAGCTACATCAGGAACAGAGGACAAACAATAGAACTGTTATATCTTCCTTACAAAGTTTACTTTTGCCCTTTGGCTGGTCAAGTGAAGCTGCCATCTTGGGTTGAAAAAGTCATCTCACATCTTCCAAAGCCCATATTTACTGGAAGGGAGGAGACATGAGTAGTAGCCTAAGGAAGGAAGACATTTGATGAAGGACTGAGCCGGCTGAAAAGCACAGCACAAACACACAAGTTGATAATTGGACGATTTGCTTGTTAGATACAACTCTATCAATGCTGACTCACCTGCTGCATATGCATCTTTACTCCTTGCTGACTATGAACCTTTCTGCCTACAGCTGCCCAAGAAATTGAAATAAGACAAGGTGCCAAAATCACCATCACCAAGTTTTTTGTTTGCATCTGATTTTAGAATTTCCCTGCAAATTCAGAGAATTTACCATGTTTCCGACCAGTGCATTGTTCCGCCTGCACATCCTTAGTGGACAGTTGTCCTCAAACTGTTCTGGGTTGCTGTATTAAAAAAAACATTCCATTTACCCCAAAAAACTGAAGATTGACTCTGTTGTCTGTGTCCCTGAAAACAAGCTACTAGCACAGCTTTGAAAATGGGTAATGTGCTTTTTGTATCTTTGATCTCTTTGTTCCCGCTGAAAGCAGTGCGGCTTCAGCCTATATTCAGGAAAAGCCCTTTCATTTCTGGCACCATGTTTCAGTAGGGCTTGGCTTGTTCTAAGACTAAAGAGTCTTAGTCTTAATGACTCAGACGGCAGAATACTCGAGCTGCTGTTTGAACCCTTCCTTGGGTCTCTGATTTATCATCTGGAGCTGCATTGCCATTTTTTCTGTACAAGTCAACTAAGGTGTCTGTTGCACCACCCTCTGTTGGTTAGATGGACTAACAGCTCACAAGGGAGCAAGTTCTGCTTCCAAATTCTTCACACATTCATGGCAAATAGGCCTCTCGACAGCCATGATGGCTAAATGGAACAGCCTCCGTATAGCAGGTGCTGGAGGGCAAACAGGGCAGGAGGGGCATTGCCTTCATGCCTTAATTGTCAGCTTCCCTGAGGCACATGGGTTGCCCTGGTGTGCCTCAGCCCCCAAGGCTTTTCTTATGTTCTTAACCCTTGCTTAGCATAGGAATTCTCTCCATCCACCCTACGTTCCCCTCTCCTGTCTCACTGCTGTTTTCATCTTACATAGGATTTGGATCGAGATGCAATTTGTGCTCCGATAGACAGTGGTTAAGCTTCCCCAGCCTTTTGGAAAACTAAGGCTTGGCCCTAACACATGGCTTCTGTTTTGCTTCCTGCGAGACAGCCAGGAGTATAATCAGTACATGCATTTCAAATATCAAGAGATGCCAAGGAGATTGAGTCACTGTTTCCCATTTAATTAGGCTAGAGCAAGATGCCGAGCTCATAAACACATACTGGGAGCTTTTCTATGATACAATTATTCACTAATGCCAAGAGTCCCCCCTTTCTAATTCCCACATGTCTTGCCTCCAGACTCCCAATCCCATTAGTGTGCCATCTAACTTGTCAGCAACCTAGCAACTTTTTCTGCAATGGCCTTGCCACTGTAAACATATCAGGATTTATTTCTGATGGTCTACAAACAATACCTCTGCTCATTTTGTCCCAAGATGTATACGAGGTATCAACCAAGGAAAGATCCTATTTTTTTAAGCAATAACAGAAGGCTTCATTTTGCTTCTATTAAGAGCAATAACAAAACTTAGGCAGTGTGTTTCATGACTGGGGATTTGGATCAGTGACAGTCACAGGCCAGTGGAATAGTTTTGGTATGAAACCACAGGTGGCCCAAAAACTACTTCAAATCAAGTTTTTTGTTGCGGTACACCAACTGTTTGAAGCTTAAATGGGGTTTTCCAGTAGAAGACCAGTCATGATGATATACAAACTTCACTGGAAGAAAGTTTACCCTCAGTCCTAATATGAATTTATGATATGCTGTCAGTGCAGTACAGTCATTAATATCTGGCTAGGATTTGGTTCAAATCTCCACTATGCAAGAAACTCACTGGGTGACTTTGAGCCAGTTACACCCTCTCATCCTAACTCACCTGATAGGGTTTTGTGAGAATATAATTATGTATGCCACCTTGAGCTCCTTGGAGAAAGGCCAAGATTGAAATGTGATAGATAGCAGATAGCTACAGAGGATCATTGAGTGTGTTTTAGATCAACTCCCAAATGGTGTAGTTTTAAGATTTAAAAGCGGGGGCTGATGAGATTCACAGAGGAGGGAAGTCCCATCTGCTCCCCACTGCCCCTTCACTGCTTTTCACTCCCCATTTTGCCTCCCCTTGCCACCTTAAGTTTCCCCCTTTCCACCTCTTTGCCACTTTTAACCCCTGCCACTGCTTTTACCACTCTGTCCCTCCCCTTGCCTCTCCTCATTCCCCTTTTCTAACATAAGAACATAAAAGATGCCAATGTTGGATCAGGCCAAAGGCCCATCCAGTCCAACACTCTGTATCACACAGTGGCCAGAAATACCAGTGCCATCAGGAGGGCCACCAGTGGGACCAGGACTCTCTGCACCATCACCACTTTTTGCTTCTCTTTGACTCTTCACTACTTTTTTGCTCCCTCTTTTCTTGTTCCTCAACTCCTTTTTGTTCCCCCCTTTCCACTCCTTAGCCCCGGTCACATGGCAAAGTTGCCGCGGGAGAGGCATGGGAGTCCCGCTGATTTTCCGGGCGCGATCACACCCCAACATCTGGGAAGTGCAGTGCTCCCGTGGCAAACCCATGGCTCCCCGCCAAAGGTGCAGATTAAAAAACTAGTACTTATGAGGTACTAGTTTCCGGAAACCGCATGCCAAGGGCGGGCGTCTGATTGCGTTTCTGGTAGACTTACGTGGCATCCGGCGCCCGTCTTCGCAGGTTGCGCAACAGTGCCCAACAGCACATGCACACAAAGAGCGATTGCTAGTGTGATCGCGCCACGCGGCTTCTGTGCCGCGCTGCAGGATACCCGTCTGGTCGGCATCTCCCCCCTAACCATGGGACCTCGACCGGGACGTGTGCTCGGGCAGCCGCGCGTTAGTTTCCTCTGGGGCAATTAGCCACGCCTCCTCCCCCCGCGATATCTGGCCCATGTGACCGGGGCCCTTGTTACTTTTCACCACCACTTCCTACCCTTCCACTTTTCATTCCACCTTTCTCTTCTCCCACACCATTCTGCTGAACACACACCCTATTACTTTTGCTTCCTTCTCACATTTCAGCCATTGCATTCAGTGTGTCCATGCTGAAAGGCACTCATTCTGGTGGGGTTGCTAGGCAACTCCATAATGCCAACCATGATCTCCTGAGACTTTTCATAATCTCAGCATGTATTATCTCTTTGGGGGAGTTAACCCCCCACACCCTTTTTTAATCTAGAACTTTCTGCAAACTAATGGGCTGTCCTAGGTTTTCAGGAAAATCCCCTTTCTCTTGTTATGGCCCCATTGTGTAGATTTTTAAAATTTGCATTCTGGACTGCAGCTATGTTCAAAACTAGATATATTAATTTTATCTTTGTTTTTTAGTGTTGCTGGGGTTTTGGAAACTAGGCTGCTGATTGTTGTTGCTGTTTTAAGATTTAAAATCTATATTTTTGGAGGCTTTAAGTTTTTATTATTGCTTGTAACTGCTTTTTGTTGATTCATTTTTGCATTTTTATTTTGCTATCATTCAATATGTTTATTGTTTCATTTGTTTTAAGCCACTTGACATGTTTTTAAAGCTAGGGAATATTTTTAAAAACTGGTGTCTCTTTTAGTTGTCCGCTCAGAGATAAGGTAAAGATACCTCAAGTTGACATTTCCACACTAACTGTACCTTCAGAGTGAATTTGGCTGTGTATTTATTTTAAGCCTTCCAACTTTCTTCAAGTGCCATCCCCTGAGGACTAGCTTTTGTTTACCAATTTACTCAAAGAAGTCCCACCTCCCACTTCCTCCTCTGGCAGGACTTGGAAAAGTTACTGTATTTCCACCTGGCTTACAGTGGGCATTATTAAGATTAATGAAAAATATTGTAAAGCAAATTGAAGGAGTCTATAGAGTTTCCCTCAAATTTTGCTTCAAGGCACCATTTGAAGGAAATCTGGAATTTCCAACTCAGAAATGTGTCAGAGATGTGTCAGGGGAAGCCAAAAGATCCAATAGCAATAGTGGAATTTTTCATTCATTAGAAACATCAGTTTTACTATTTACAAGATATTGCTAATAATAATGTAACATGACAGAGTTAGAAATAGCTGTGGTAGTTTATGAGTGTGATAGTTGCAACTGCAAGTTGCTATTAATACTCATTTCTCCTCTCTAAATATACAGGATTCCAATGTATGTTTTTCTTTAAAAATATGAAAAAATATGAAGATAATCCTCTTCTAAAGAAAGCTATGCTCTCTTCAGAACCTTTCCTGACCTCTGAGGGCAAAGAAGAACAAAATAAAGTGGTAACAAAAACACAGTTGCCTGCCAAAGAAAAGGAGTTCCTGTTAAAGGGCTGAAACAATAAATCTCCTCTGTGCTGAACTCCCAGAGGGAGTCTGTCGTGTTTCCTCCTGTTCTTTATTAAGGTCCCCCAAATAAGCAGGAATGGGCAGAGTCTGTTCACAGTCACTCTGCACACCTTTTCCACTTACTAATTAAGGCCCTGTCTCACAGCAAGAGAGTTTTGGGCCCGCTGTCTCTGGAAGGGAATACCTGCAAGACAGAGAATAACCATGAAGCTCTTTGGAACGGCTTTCTTCTCTCTGGCTGTGTTCAGCTTATGGAGCGCTACTGGTAAGGTCACATTTCCTCTTTGCTGTTCCTTTGGCTTTCTTGATGGACCACTCAGAGCAGGAGGTGAAGTTTCCTTGTAATAGGGATTTCTAACTAGTAAATGCTTTCCCTGATATAACTGCCACTTCCTCGCTGGTCTGTTGTTGTTCACCGCTTCATTCACTTGTGCATGGGCTGAGTGGTTTCATCTCTGGAAGTGAATGAGGAGGATACTAGATAATTAATTTCCAAAATGGACTTCAGTGTTTTCACAGAAAACTGGTTGGGGGGGGGGCTCTTCTGGGTACTCTGAATTCTAACAAATGAGAATGGCGGGGAATCATCTTGAAGATCTCTGATTGTTAGTTTATGGAGCCTTACTGTTAGTTTATGGAGCTAATCCTATCAAAATTAGAATACGCCACACAATAAACACTTGTAGAAGTTAATCCACCTCTCCCAGATGATAGGGTGTTGCAACCTAGGAGGAGAAAGAACAGTATTATAGTTGCCTGCATAATTTCAGGATAGCCTTAAATTAAATATAGTGAGCAATTTGATATATTTCATTGTTGAATTGATATTTGCAACCAATTTTACTTTTAAATATAAAGAACATGGAAGGAAAGAACTGTATTGCAACAAACAGTCAAACATAACATTCCAGTCTCTGAAAATTTTATTATAGGAAACAGATGAATAGAATAATCTCCAAACCTATTCCAGTGTAACTGGGGTTTTAGCCAAATCTGGAATGTCATTCAGATTGATAGCCAGAGAGCAACTGGAAATGTACTTTGATGGAGTTGGGAAGGAATTCCATTGGAAGGCCAGAACGTTTTAATTTTGGGGGGGAGAAAGTTACATCTGCTGTGCTTTAAAAAAACAAAACAATGCCTATTAGCTTGGACGCTTTCATAAGAATCATAATAGACTACTCGATGAAATGGCTATGAATCAAGAATGCCTGTTATTTTAAAAAGATTGTGTCATCTCAAGTATATATTGCAAAGGGTTTTTTTTGTCTTGAGCTACTTGTTGGGAAGGAACTGAAGGAAAATAAAGAGGAATCTGGTATGGCATCACCCATGTTATTGTTCAAGCTCATTGCTGTTAAAAATGCGGCGTCAGAGATTGGCATTAATAGCCTTGCCGCTGAAAGATCTGCTTTTAAACCCATGTCCATGTCAGTGTGAAGCCTGAAAGTCCAGGCTGGAGGCCCACTTATGCTGTCTGAAAATGTTAGAATAAGGAACCTTGCGGCCATTGTTAAACTGTGAACTAATTATATGACTTCTGAGCAGCAAGATGGAAAAAGGATTACTAGAGGCAGACGCCACTTAAGCAACATAGCAAGAGGATGCACACCACCACCTTTTCAGGCCGTTTCTTTGTTCTTCCAGAAAGTAATTGGATGTGTGCAAAACTGTGACTGACACGCATAGAGATTTAAATCATAAAACGTAACATGAATAACACCCTCGATTTAGATTCCCCCACACACACAAAATAGCCTTGAACATATGAACTCAGGAAGCTGCCTTGGTATTCACAGAGAATAGGTGGTTCCATCTTACTAAAGGAAATGAGTCTTTTGGCATCTGCTTTTTTGTATGGATGCCAATTAGAAATGGCAGAATGTAATTCAGGGCAAGTATTTTGTAAATAATATTGCTATTGTCTCTATGTTTGTGTGTAAAAAGATAAGAGATAATCTACTAGCTTCCTAGAGCCTAGGTTTGCCAGGTCTTCCCCCCGCCCCCTGGCCACAAGTGGAGAATCACGAGGAAAGGCAGGGTAAAAATGTTTTAATTAATAAATAAATATACCTACAAGGCCTGTGAAGAATCAGTGGGAGGGGTAGCAGTTAGGAAATCACATAAGATTACAAAAAAACTGAATAACAAAGAAGACGATGAGTTTTTTGGAGAATGGAATGATTTTAAAATTTATCTGGAAAAGAACTGGGATGTGAAACAAAACTTAATATGTTTAGATCAATATTAAGTCAAACGATGTTATCTTTAGATTGTAATGATGAAAAACTGATATTGTTGATGATATGAAGTAATTTGGAGCAGGGGTGGAAGCATTGTGGGAAGCCATTGGAGGGAGGGGAGGAACTGGGAATGGGGTAGACAATTGATAGAATGAAATGTTTTATATGTTGTATTCCTGAGAAAATAAAATTTGTTTACTAAAAAAGGAAATCACACTCCCTCATGCCTTATCTCTCCATCCAAGGGGAGATCTCAGGGTCTTTAGCAGGCTGATTTCCTCTCCACTTTTTTTTCTTTGATTCTCAGCTGGCTTCAATATTCTGTGTCTTCTAGCTACTTGGAAGGGGGGGTGTTCTTTCTTTTGGTTAATTTACAAAGTCATTTATTTATTTTTGCTTCCCACGTGGGAAATGCCCATAGTTTATGTGGATAGCTTGGGTTTGTTACTTTCATGATTATTACAGGGGCCAACCACTTTTTAAAGTAGAGAGATTGTATTTTGATTGCACATTTTCTTCCAAGCAGCTCAGGGCAGGATGCATGGCTTTCCCCTCCTCCACTTTGTCTTCATAGCAACCCTGTAAGGTAGGTTAGGCTGGGAGAGAATCAATGGACCCAGTGTTACCCAGTGAGTTTCCTACCTAGTGACACTGACACAATGTTGTAAACTGATGACATGCTGAAGAGCACTATGACAGTTAAAGGAAGGTGTGGACACACTCTGTGCCCATCAGTCTACTGGGCCTATTCCCTATGCTTATGTAGACTGCAGAGCTGATGTATGGAGGCAGCACATGAAATTCATGGACATGCATTGTTAAGTTTATTTGTATATTTTGATGCCATGTTGTTAAACACATGTTTATTCCGTTTGCTGAATCAGGGTAAAGAAACGCTCACCCACTTGTTTCTGCATAGGTTCCAAATTTTTAACATCTTAGGGGGAGGCAAAGAGAATTCTTGAAGGATTGACAACAAGGTTCAAAGTCCTGGTCTTTGGTGTCTTTCAGTTTAAACTGCAAAAGGTGGTATATTTAACGAGCTTTTGTTCAGAGACGCCAGAAGAGGGAATACCCTTGCTCTGTCAAAGGTCGAATCTACATTTGCATCTTTAAATCAGTTCCGTGCTGCATTTGTGATTTTAAATCAGTTTTGCGCTTTCTCTATGTTTGACGGCGTCACACAGCAGCAGAAAACTGATTTAAAAATACAAATGTAGATTCGACCTAAATGTCTCAATTATGTCTTGCTTATGTAAAGTGGAAAAGGGTGTGGTTGTTAGAAGATGCAAATTTGGCACTGGAGGATATGCCAGTGTATGAAGCCTGGGGAAAATACACTATGCTCAGTTGTTCTACCTCCGTTCTAATGCCTGTGTTGGATAGGTACCCTGATGCACAGAACCTGACATGCAGCAGCGAATGAAAATGTCTGTACCTGCCAAATATTGTTTTTGTGGCAGTTTGTTGCTGGGTTTTGATCCCTGATCCTTGTCCCTGCTGGGTTACACTGTTTGCTGCTGGTGAGTAAATACTTCAACCTGGGTGCTGTTTGACCTTCTTGATTTGAGCTCTGCCTTTCAAGAAGTTCAAAGCAGCACTTCCACCTCATGACACCCCTGTGGGGTAAGATTAGACTGAGAGCCAAACTAAGCCCATGATTGCTGGTGCCATTTAAGAGAAGAATTTAGCCATTTAAAAGTACCACAAGCCCCCCCCCCCAGCTGTTTTGGCAAAGGCATGGGGGGGAGAACAAGATCACCAGGTCCCACGGCACTGTGGCCCCTTGCGATATTTTTAAATGACTAAATTCTTCTCTAAAATGGTGTTAGCAGCCACAGGTTGGAACTGTGGCCTCTGTGATGTCTAGTCTGGCCCGGGGAGATTTACCTAAAATGATCTAACCCCAATGCAAAACTGGATTAATAATCAAAAGCTGTCAGGGAGAAAGAGGAAGAAAAAGGCATTTTCCAGCCAGTATCCTCACCCAGTCCTCACCTGGATAGACAGCCAGCTCGCTCTCATCTACGGTTGCCAGCTCCAGGTTGTAGGGTTGCCAGGTCCTACCTGACTGCCAGCAGGGGGCTCTATGGTCCATTCTGGGATGTTCTGGTGTGCCTGCTTTGCACGCGTGCCACAGTGACATCACCCAGAAGTGATATCATCATGTCACCAACATCAGGGTGTGATGCTCTAGTTTTGGGGCAAAACTCTATGGTTTGAGCCCAATTTTACCATAGGATTTGGCCCAAAAACTAGAGTGTCACCCCCCAACATCAGCAATGTGATGACGTCACTTCCAGGTGATGCCATTACATCATGTTCGGGGGCATTTGCAGGTGAGATTCCCTCTGCTGGCCAGCTGGCCAGTGGTGGAAAGGGGCTCGCAAAAGCAGGGGAACCCCCAGCTGGACTAGGGGCCTAGCAACCCTACCAGGTCGGGAAATTCTTGGAGATTTGGGGGTGGCACCTGTGGAGGACAGGGACCTCAGTGGGGTACAATGCCATAGAGTCCACCCTCCAAAGCATCCATTTTCTCCAGGAAAACTAATCTCTGTAGTCTGGAGATGAGCTGCAGTTCATGGAGATCCCCAGGCCCCATCTGGAGGCTGGCATCCCTACTCCTGTCAGATCTCAGAAGCTAAGCAGGATCGGCCCTGGTTAATATTTGGATGGGAAACCACCAAGGAAGTCCAGGATTGCAGCACAGAGACAGGCCATGGCAAACCTCTTGTGAAGGTCTCTTGCCTTGAAAATCCAACGGGGACACTGTAAGTCAGCTGCAACTCGATGACAGTTTTCTCCACCGCGGTATCCTCACTCAAGAGATGAGCCGCTTAGCTGAAGAGCAAGCTCTGCTTTGCATTCCTGTCAGATGGACATGAATTAGCACTTAGGATCAAGTGACTATGCTCAGAACAGCTAGTACTGCCATCTAGACAGCACTCTTGAGCACAGAGTTAAATCTACAATGTTTTCTATGAAAACAGAGTGTTGTTAATATAACAGCCTGGCTGTTGGG